TGAGAAAGATGTGACTTCATGCTTCTAGGAGCAGCAGCTGTGAGGTGGCAGGAAGTCGCGACTAGATAATGTTTGTTGTAGCTGAAAAGATCAAATTGTATCTCAGTCCAGCTCTCAAAAAGAGTAGCTTTATACTCTCCCCAGCACTAACTCAGTTAAAAGCATGAAATTTCCCCCAGTCCATGAAGCAGGTGCTGTACCACCACTCACTTCCCTGCCCCACAGCATGTCTAGGACCTGTACACAGCAGGAGATAGTTCTCAGAGAAACTACTTTTGTCTCTAGTTTTCAACGAATCATTTGCTAATATTAATTAATCTGTTAAATGTTCTTTTTGTTTTCGCAGGCAAAAGAGCTGGAAAATCTGGCTGCTATGGATTTGGAGCTGCAGAAAATAGCTGAGACATTTAATGATAACAGGAGAGGCTGAAGATGATCTGCTTTGGTGTTTCAAAGCTAGGTGTAGCTGTACTCACAATACCTGTATTTTGTGGTAAATTCACTGCCACTGGATTGTTGTTTGCCCTAAAAACAAGAAATACTATTTACTGTCCACTATAGTGTAGTGATTTATAAAGCTGGAAATGTCTTTAATTTGCTATTTTGCTATTGAAATTTGAATAGTGTGAATTTTAATATTATAACGTTTCATGCAAGGCAGATATTTTTAATATTGCTTGTGGAAATAATTGTGTTAGTGTTCTTCAGAAATATATGTCTGAGTTTGAAATAATAAAAATCATTGATTTTGGAGCAAACTTCCTCCTTGTTTATTTGGCTCACTGGGTTATTTCTGCCTAAGCTCTATGAGGTGAATAGGTTGTGTGCAGAATGTTCACTATTATTTTTAAAATTTACAGGGATTCTGCCCATTCTTTTTATTCGCCAGTTAGGAGGAGCATGAAAGGTAAGGAAGAATCCCGACAAATTTGCTGTAGTACCTCAGAAATGTCCTGTGAATAACTTAGTTCTGTAAATTAGTCATTAAAGAAACAAAAAGGTTGCAACACCACATAGCACATGGAAGAAGCTGGTAGCAGAAACAGCGTTACAGAGCCTATGTTAGAGTGGTGCTAATTTTGCACCATGTGAGTACCTCAGTAGCAGTAAAGTGAGAGCAGGATATATTCTGTACAGTTTATTACACAGAACAACAAATACTGTGTGAAAGGAATAGTTTGGCAATCGCGTGTCAGTATGAAGCAGAAACAATACCATAATTAGCTTTAATTACTCCAGATATCTGGGGTTCAATTTAACTCATCCAAATGTGCTTTTTTTTTTTTCTTTTTGCAGGCTTTCTGCTGTGACAGTGCTTTTGTATCAGTTGCTTGTGTAACACCAGATGCAAGAGGTGCTATACAGAGAATTCAGCTGAGCAACATTATCAGTAAATGTGCAGTCTCTCTCCTCCTACCTTAACCCATTTAATCCACCTGCTCACTAAAACACAAACATGCTCTCCATTTAATGGTAAGGTGAAAATGCAGTGAAATGCAGTGAAAATATTTGGTGAGATGCTGATCTGTGAACTGTCTGAGCATGTCTGTGCCTAGGGATTTTGGTAAGTGCTCTCAAATGTTTCATTTTGTTTGGTTAAGATATAGGAAGACTGCGACCTTAGAGAAGGTGGTAGTTTTGACTTCATAGTTTGACTTCAGTAGGACACTGATTTCACGAGGCATTTCCAACAACAGTAAGGAAAGTTAGAATGTGTCCCAGCTGCAGAAATACTTTGTTGTTTTCAATATCCAAGACTCTCTTAAAAAATTTACAGTACAGTAAATACAGTAAGTTTTGCAATTTTTTTTTTTCCTGAGCTGCTGCAAAAGAAAACAAACCTACCTGTGCATGCAAAAGAAAACAAACCTACCTGTGCATGCAAAAGAAAACAAACCTACCTGTGCATGCAAAAGAAAACGTGTCTGTGCATACTTAGAAGTAAATAACTTTAGTTGTAACACAGAAAGCTTTCTAAAGTTGTGCAAGTGTGTAATTCTTGTAAATGATTATTTTTTTAAAAAAGCTCAGCTTATACAAACATACATTCATGAATCAGCAATGTTTTGCTTAAAAACTTACGATGTGGGGCTGACACCACTGCAAGCACTGAGAGTCAAACAGCTGTTCAGGCTGCTTCTGCCTGTTCCATTTTTACCTATGCATTTGCACTGCCTCTTCAAGACTTTGGTGAGTAATGCTAGAATACTTTTTTAAACAGCCCTCTGATACCATTTATATTAATTTGCATTTTCAGAAAGGTCTGTTGTATGTTTTTGGCTTTGAGGCTGAATGATAGACCTTTAAATGAGTATTAGTAAGATGCAGAAATGTGTTCCATATCAAATGAAGCAGAACTAAGTGGCTTTGGTTTCTGAGTGTTTCCAGCTCCTGCTGTGTGTACCCGTGGGAAACAGTAAGTTTTGATGCGTACTTCCAGTGAAACACAGCAATGGAAAACTTGGTGACTGCTGCTTTCACTCTGTTCATATTTTCAGCAAATTTACACGGAGAAAGCAGTCCTGTGATTGAAGATAAAAGTAAAAGCAGCTACCTGGTCTTGTGGCAGTGATACCTTTACCAGACCAGGTCCTGACTCTGTCAGATTTTCTTGTTGTATTATAGAAGCTGAGGCTTGAGAACTTCAGTTGCTTTTTGAGACCGGACACTTCCAACTGTTAGAGAAAAGCTGAAAGGTGTAAACAGCACCTAGTTCTCCTTTGTCACTTTCATTGTGCAGAGTTCAGCTGAGGTGAGTACTTTATGAGATAAAAATGCAGGCAGATACACAAAATTCCCTGATTTCCAGACACCAAAACAAGCTGCCCCCGTTTGGCTAAGCTGAATGTAACCACAGCCAAGACGGACGGTTCTGCTTAATGCACAGAGCAGTGAACACAATCTGGCACCTCAGCAATGGATATTTGTAGAGCACAGAAGACAGTGATGGAAGTTGCCCTTATCAGGCAGTCTGTGCAAGCCAAGTTCTCTACCTCATCTAAAGGATGTCTTCTGCAGAACTTAGTGGGCTGCTTTAAGCAAGCCATCTTTGGTTTAGTATCCCTGACCTTTCCTCATTCTTTAAAAGTCACACTACAAAACTAATTTAGAGTGGTTTATGTTCTGCACCTCCAGAAATGGAATCTCTTGAATCTAGCAACAGTTACGTTTCTAAGTTGTACATACAGGTATTCAACTGTCACCTTCATTTTTTCTCTACCTCTCCTTTCGTGTTTTGAGATGTTCCTTTTCACGTTTTTTTTTCTTTCTAATTTGTAAAAGACTTTACAGGATGCACTCATTCTCATTTGTTCCAAATTTTCTTTACTTTGTTACTTTTTAAAAGGCTTCCTAGAGTTTCAGTCAATCATTACTTGCATTTCAACCTTTCTCTTTCCATTATAGTTTTTAGGATGCTAATTGTGTTTCAACTGAACTGGGAAGGTTACATCAAGATGGGCTGCACCACAGTAATATAAGGAATGTTTCATCAGTGTGAAATTAATAATTTGAAATATTTTACATGAAGTGCTTGATACCTGGTTTCTTATTATGTTTCAGTGTTACAAGCATTACAGCACACTTTGAAAATGCAGGGCATTATTTGATACTGGTAATGCATGTGAAGTGAAGTCAGCTTGTCTTTGATCTATACTAGCTTTCCAGCTATTTAAATATTTTTCCTAAAAAAAAAATTTTTTTTTAAATTATACAAACAAAATATCCAACAGAATTTTCTTCAAGTTATTAATTTGTCAGGTTATACATGATAACAAGTGGGATTTAAAACATAAGGTACTGCTTAGCCCCAGCTCCTATTGTGCAACTGTTGTGGTTCTGTGACCCCCACACCAGCTCAGTGCAGGTGGCAGAGGAAGTACCTATGGCTGCTTCACAGGTAAGACAACTCTAGCAGTTTTTAAACTTTTTTGGGGGTGTTTTTTTTACCTCCTGCCTTACAGCCATTTCATAGTTTTCCTGCCTTTCACTAGCTTTTAGGCTCCAATCCTTAAATAGACTGGCTTACAATTTCGTCACACAGCAGATGTTGGCTTCAAAGTCCCAATTCACCTTCAGCATGCACATGCAGCTGTAAAGGAGAACTTTTCCAACCTACTCCCCTAAAAATTCTTGGAAAAAAAAGTTAAGAAAAGCAGTTTAAAAAAAAAAAAAAAATCAGTTACTAAAAGCCATACATCAGATTTCTATTCCATATGTATGATTTAAAATACTTAAACTGTATTAAAAGGTATTAAAGGGCAAAGTACAACAGATTATGTATGCACAGCAGTGAGGATATAGAAGACAGGATGGAATCTACAGTCTTCTGAATTTTTCTATATAAATAATAAGATCTTTTTTAATGAAAAGAGGGGGGAAAAAAAAAGTTGAAGATAGGTACACTCTGATTATTCACTCAGGAAAACTGTAGCTGCTTTACACAAAATATAACCCATTTTTATTTTGAGTTAATACTCTCCTAAAAGAGCATTCTTATTAATATGGAGAATTTTACATCTTTATGAAGTCTAATCACTTAACCCCAAAGCTCCAAATTCCAGTCAAGCTGAAGTTGAAGAAAGGAAGCCCAATCCTGCTGGCTCTGAGTTCCCACATGCACCTAGGGCTCCCAACCAGCGGCTCAGCACCAAAGGTATTCTTTCCACAAAACCTCTGCTAGACCTTAACTAGACTGTAATTTTCCCTCTTTTGAGAAATAAGAAAATAAATCTCATTAGGAAAAATATCCCACAGTTTAATTACAATGCCAAATGCAAAGGTAAAAAAAAAAAAAAAAACTACACATTATGAAAGAATAAAACTGTAAAATAAATATATATACACATGGCAGTTTTCAAAATGGTCACATCTTAAACACAGAACAACTACCAGGAAAATGACAGGTAACACTAACAAAGATATTGGTTAAGTGTTTGGTATTTAATTTACTAACATATGCTTTCCCCTGTATTTATTTCAGGAAACACTGAGTCATTATATAAAGTTCTGGAATTAATGTTCTCTTTTTATTGCTCCTTTGGAAAGAAAAATACTTTTTTGTATGAATAATTTTTGCTGCTTATGCTGCTTCCTTAGATTACTCAACACTGCAGGACTCAGTGTCTAAAGAGGGAGCAGATCACTACACAGAACGTTTTACCCTGATTTTGTTCTAGGAAAATCAGAAGCAAAATTACTTGTGTTAATTCAGATTCATGTTTTAAAAATTACGAAATCATATCCAGTTTTGGCAACAAACAAGAAAAGACAAAGCATCAGTGAAAGCACTCATGTCCACGTTAACTTCTCAGCCTGACCATCAGGTCTTTTCTTTGAGGTTCATGTGCTTTCAGCGTGATGTCTGACACAGGTTTGCTTCCACCAGTTTATCTTCTCATTCTGACCATGTAAACTGGTATGGAGAGACAGTTCTCCCTACCACATAATTCTGCTTTTCATTGACTGATGTATGACAGACACTATTTCTGTGCTGTCAAGAGCACAGAAACTGTACCTGTTATTTTACTAACCACGTGTCTCCTGAGATCTGAAAAACAAATCAATTCTCCCTCTGTTAACAGCAAAGGTCTTGAACTTTACATCTTTTAGATGACGGCTCTTCCATCTTCAGTGCTTCTAAATTACTGGAATCAGATTTGCCCTTATCCAGCACAACAGTTATACCAGATAGAAGGTACCCTCCGCCTCCGCTCATTGTCAGTTTTGGATGGCTTCGATCTGGTAGGACCTTTAAAACAGAACAAAGAAAACTGAAAAGCATCTGTGAGGAGTCATGCTGTATGTGCGCATCAAATGGTGTATTTCAGTTTACAGTATTTGTTCCAGCCATGACATTTGAAAAGTGCATTTACCTTGAAAGGGCAAAGCGTTTGCAAATCAGAAACCACCTCCAGAAACACCTACTGTCCTCCTTCTTCATAGCACTTCCAGCAGAACTACAAATTCAAGGCTCAGACTCTTGAAAGTCTCATTAAATTGTTCAGAACTCACATACTTTGTGAGAAACCACAATGGGTCTAATATACCAGCAATCTTTATGTATCCACTACTACTGTAAGACACAGCAGTGAACTAAGACTTTCAGCTCTGCTATTCTTTTCTGTAAGTCTTCTCCTATTTTGCTTCCTTCTTCTTTTGACTGCCCTCACAGCTCTAAGCTGATCTATCTGTTTTCAGGAGGTGACACTGTGTTGCTCCTAGCCAGGGTTTCCTAATATTCACAAAGTACTGCACCGGGGCAGAATAAGCCTTGCCAAGCCTGAACATATGAACGTCCATTGGTTCTCACCATCATTCTTGACAGCCAGTAACTATGGCCACCCTTGCCTTAAGTCAGTCACTGTGTAGTAAATAATTCCTTATGGACTCCAGAAGCCTATGGGTGAGGAGCAAGCCAATACAATGCAAGAACCTTGAAGAAGGGGTAAGCTGCTTACAAATGAGGTGTGCTTCTCTTCATAGTGGGGAAGGGTGCTCCATGTTTATATACACCTTATTTGAACAGAGTTAGTCAAATCAGTATTTTTCACTGTGGAGATGTTCCTAGACATGAGATTCCTCCTTTAGTTCCAGGAAACATGTTACGTGCAGATACCAACTTTAGAGGTCATTACCATTCTTGTGCTACAGAAATCTTTTAAGCTATCCAACCGACTAGAAATTAATAAATATAGTGTACAAGAAATATAGCAGAAATATTACATTAGATTGTCACTTAGCTACTATAACCCCTGAAGCAGCACAATTATGAACTTTTTTTCAGCATGCTGCCTTTCTATTTCTGCAAGTATTTTTTGCAGAAATTTTTACAATTGCAGTGAATTGCCTTGGAAGTAGGAATGAAGCGTTTCCATTCAAAAAACATTGCCATTTCACATTAAAATGCTTTAAGCATTTTCTTGCTACTGTCATATAAACAAATGTATGAGCTTGCACATAATTTCAATCAATCCAAAACACATTTTGCTTCCCCAAATAGTACAATCCTTACCTGGTAGCTTCGTAGCCATGTTTCAGATAGCTTTAGGTTAACAACACCACCTCTTTCTCTCAGCTTAGTGTAACATTCTAATAAGGGCTTAAGAAAAGAAATAACAGGTTATATGGCAATATAACCTCAAGCTTACAGTAACAACAGCTAGAGCAACGTGCTCCATTTACCTCTTTATATTGGCAGTAGACAACAAAAGGCCGTGAAGGAGCAACAAACTCCAGTAAAGACAGTAATAGAGGAGTGGGATGAAACTTGCTGGCTACAAGTAAGCTGTAAAAGAAATTTCATGCACATTAGTCTTCTGCTTCTTCAAGCCTATTCATCAAGTGACATCTTCTAGTTAGCACAGCACATCATTACAGCTTCAGTATTGCTCATCAGCACGTTTTCATGGCTCTAGCAATTCCCCAACTATAAAAACAAATTATTTCCTACTTGCACTGTTTAGAGGATGAAAAGCTTGTATCCAGTACAGCCTATTGAACACATTGCAGAAATATTCCTTTCAGCTGTTTTGAACTCTGCAATACTTCTTACAAACTGAAGAACTTTAATGCTGCTTTTGTACCCTATGACAATAGTTAAAATATAACAATTTTTTTTTACTGCTAGCTGTTCCTTAGAATGTAGCTTCAGTCACAATTATTTAATGAAGATTACAGATTTTAAAGATTTAAGTAATTTGTAATTTAAAGAGAAAATTCATGAATGGGCATGACTAGAAATCTTTTTAAAAAAAGAACTTTTATGTCCTTGGCAACTGAAAGTCTTCATATTTTAATCTTTACCTTAATTTTAATATCCCAGTGTAACTCGTATTTACCGATGCTTAGGATTCTGTATAGATACCCAGAGTTTTAATACATAAAGTCACTGCTAAACCTGAAAGGGTTAAGATGGTCAAGAATGGTTAAGATTCAAGTAGCTAACAGGTTGTACTTGTGCAGAGAATAAACTGCTTCTCCACTATACAGCTATATAAGAGGACCTCTCAGTCAACAACTGTTCTCCAAGGGAACAGCATTGTAAGCTCTGTCAAACTTGCCTAATAAAATGGAGGTAAAGATGTTAATTTTTTTTTAAAACACAAAAGATGAAAGAGTTATTTTGCAGTTGTTTACATTTTGGTTTTCTGTTGGCCAGATCCTGTCCAGGTTCCAGGTTTTCCTCAAATCCAAACTGCAAAATGTCTGTACTCAGTAATTAGCCAAGTGGACCATGAGGAAATAAGACTCTAAACCATATTCCAGAAGGGTCTGAGTACTGTACTGACACCAAAAGGAACTCTGCCAGACAACCAGAAGGTAGGAGAGAGATGAGGGGGAATGTGAGAAATCAAGTTATGTTCTTTCATATGGCAGCACACATTGCTGTCAGCAGGTAGTCTGCTCAGTCTCAAAATTAACCTAGTGGACAAGAGAGGGGAAGGAATAGGCAGAGAAAAGACACAGAAGGTACAGAGAAGGCTGTGTGTTCTAATTCTGAACACAGGGAGCATCTGTAATCCAATTTCTACTTTTATAGTATCAGAAAAAATGTGATGATCCATCACTGCCTACTCTTTATAAGACAAAAACTGCATCCCTATTGGATGCCTTCCTTCTTTCTCCTCAGAGACATACATCTGCCTTTAACTCACAAATGAAACTGATAAACAGGTATAGTACAAGAACTCTTTTCCCATGTAACAGCAGAAAAGAAATATAAATCTTATAGTTGTATCTTCAACTTTAAGTAGTAAACATTGTTAAAGCCAAGGTCTCAAGAAGGAATCTCCGTAAGCTGGAGCTCATCTTTACCTAATTACTAGTTTTCCCTTACTCTGACAATGTCTTATCCTTTCTCCCCATCTGTGAAGAAGCTTTTAGCTATCTTTTCCCCATTTCTCTCTTGCAAAACAAAACAAAATCTGGACTTCCTCACCTGTTATTTACTCCAATTCCAACTGAGTCATTTCAAACCGAGTTTGAAGCACTTGCTTTATTCTATGCCAATTTCTCCTGCTTTAACGGCACATACTGCATGGTTGTTGACCTTAACAAATGCAGGGCTACCCAAGGCAGATGACTACAAAGAGGGGCACTGCTTTAAAGCACCCAGAAGCTTCTCCTCCCTTCCATCCCCCATACTCAAGACTTTCTTGAGCAAGTACTCACTTCACATATGTAATTTATTACACCCTTCTTGCTTTACCAACAAACAAAAGAAGAAACATCCATTTGTTTTCAATCACTTGTACAAGAGACAAAAGACTAATGAGGCTTCCTTGAACTCAAAATCAACAACTGGATTCTATTTTACAATGCAGGAAGAATAATCAAGAAAAGTAAAACCCTTTTTTTCTTTGCCAAATCATGCACTGATGTTTTTTTATTTTAAGATGTGCAGGAGAGAGCAGTAAAAACGCAGCAAAACGCAGCCACTATTCAGGCAGTTTAGTGGTAGTCTGCAGACATCACTGGTGATCATTGGTGATGCTGATGGCAAGGAGACAGGCAATGCTATTTGCAAACCTTGTTTTGCTACTTCAGACAACACAGAATGACCTGTATCTGAACTTTCACAGAACAGCCGAATTCTACCACCTAGCCATGCTGGATGAAATGCACTAAAATACAAGTGAGAATTAGTTAAAATATTTTGTAATAAAAATAAAAATTAAAAAATGCACATTAATTGGTTTTCTGAGAAAAACAGGTCTATTCCTAGTGAGCCACCACATCAAAATTGTTTTGTTTTGCAGCATATGAATCCTTTTCTGATTATATTCTTATAAGGAAAGATGAATATGAATGCTATTAGATAAATCAGTGTTACTTAATTAAATCAAATCACCTCAGCATTTGCTTTCTCATTTGATAAGAAAGTCATAGCCTCAAAGTGCTCTTATGTTAAACTCGTGGGGCTGAACTGATGGGAGTATGTTTATTTTTTTCTTCTAAGCTTATGATATTAAAATCATCAGGGAAATACTTTGTTGGGAAAAAAAATCGCAGCTAATGCAGGTAAAATGAAATTAAGTGGTTTCTGGTGTTGTTTTAAAACAAATTAGTTTCATTTTTTTTAAACAAGTATTGTTCTAATTTACTAAGCTTAGGATCTCAAGTTCATTTTTACAGAAGAGAATCCGGTTTTTTATCTGCAGTCATTTAATATTAAATTCTACCTGGATTGTCTACTCTACATTAAACATATATTTTTTAGATGTTTACTCATATCTAAAACTGATGGTTTCCTGATTAGCTCAGGAAATCTCAACACCTTTAAGTGATGGGAAAAAACAAAACCAGGTGAGAACCAAATGAGACCCAAGACACATTTGGCTTGACTGCTAGCTACTGAATATTAAGAATTAACTTTTTTAAAACAAAGCTTTTATTCATTTCAAAAAGCAGTGATTTCCTATAGATGCACTTCAGACAGAACAGCTTTCTGACTCACCCATCTGCGTTCTTCTCTCTCAGCAAAGCAGCAGTTTCTGTTAGCTTTTTCCTTCTCTCCCACTGTTTTCTTTGCTTTTCTCGAACCTTTGAACAATAAAGCATTTTGTGCTTTAACTCTGCATGAACTGAATTTTTGTTTTATGCAACTTAGCTCAACATAAAGCAAGTTTTAAAACTCAATTTCAACACCTGAATAAGCTATACTTTAGCTGTCTGAAATCAGCAACACTGTGTTGAAATCATAAAACTCAAATAGCCATAATCAATATTCTTACATTTTCTTTGTTTTCTCTTTCTTTATTCTCTTTAAATTCTGCATCCTCAGCATTAACATCCATTCTTTCCTGCTCTTCTGTTTGGTTGATCTCCATAGCTGTTTCAGCAGAAGATTCCTCTTCTGTTCCCCGTACAGAAGTCTGCTTCTCATCAACCAGTCCATTCATTTCTTCCTCTGTTAATGCAGTGTCTTCAGGTTCTGAAGGCAGAGTCTCCATAGACAATGTCCCACAGAGAAGACTGTCCACTTTGCTGAGAGGAAATTCATGAAGATTATTGAAAAAAGGTTTTGGAAATCCAAAACAACTGGTGGCAGCTCTAACGGGCCCACCTCCTGGATACATCTGGATAATGGATCCATAGCCTACAGAAGTGGAAAAAATATTTTGCAGTAGTTCCTTTTAAAAGTATCAAAACCAAAAGTATTTCTTAAGTTTCAAATTAGCCCCCATCCTCTGCGTTACTGAATGACTTACCTCCCATTCGCTCCATCACAGCCCCCAGCACAAGGCCTGCACATGTTTCCATTACGACCATCTTGTTGCCAGCACGGACATTTCCTAAAGTAAGCATCTGAGCTAGAGTGTCATAACGCAAATGGCTAGAAGACAAAGGGTTTCAAGAAATATCACATTTCTTTTCTTAGAATCAGACATATAGCTCAATAGAGGCCAAACAGAGGACGTTTGGGAAGGAGAAGGAAAGAAGTTGGAGAAGCCTTAGATAAAATAAAAAGCAGGTAAGAAGTAAGTGACGTCTAGAGATGCAGAGAGCCACTGCCAGAAAGGTAATTAGCAAAACAGAGGTGGCAGGAAGTGGCAAAAGCTGATGCTACATGCAAAAGAATTATTTTTTTTTCCCCCCACTAAAGGAGCATATTGATTCATTCTCTGTATCACGATACTTTTCATTAATTTACAGTCCTTCCATTAACAAGAAAAAGAGTGGTATTATATACAATAATATTAAAATATTTTTTCACAATATTCATATCTTTATTCTCATTCAAGAGGAGAATGAAAATAAAAACTTACATAATTTTGCCAGGTTCCCTTGCATAATACATTGTTGAAAGAATGCGAGTGGACGGTTTTACAATTGTAATAATTGCCTCGTATCTGTAAGAAGTACACAGCAATAGCCTTACTTCAAGCACAACAAATTCAGGAACTACTAAATATTTTCCACATTTTAAAATTCACTTACTTTTTTTTCTTCTTCTTTATGTATTTATCTTGAGCAAATTCTGTTTTGTCTCGGAATGTCGTACTGTTCTCTATTAACTGTTGAACAATTTCCTTAAAAGAGACAATTTACATTTATTTATTACAGCTGGTATGTATTTCTCATTCATTTCATATTTAGTGGGTATTTTTGTTTGTTTTTTTTTTCTAACAAGCATAAAAATATTACATACATTCCTCTATTGGACGAAAAAGTTCTACTGACATTAATGGCAAAACAAAATTCTACTAATCAGCCAGTCACTAATTCAGCTTTAACTGTGAAGCCTCAGTACCTACATATTTTTTATCTCATGCTGAATATGAAGGAGACTACCCTACTCTCTGTAGGTGATCAGCTGTTTTTAGTCACACTGTATTTAGAATGGGACAGAGTTATGTCTATTGGCAGTTATTATTGAACAGTTAACATATATTCTAAGTTCTCAGTTTAACTTTCACCACTGGGTACAGCCATGCAAAACAGTTACTACATTTCTGAACAAAAGAAGGAACCTGATGTCATAAGCAATATTTACTTGAATCTGACTCCCTCTTTGGGTCTCTGACTTCAGCATCTCTGTCTCTGAGGATATCTTTTGCATATATATACTTTTTTTGTCAAGATCACTTTAGTTTTTCCTCTCTATTCTGGCAATTTATCGGGCATCTCCCTTACCCCACTTAATTACTTCTGTCTTTCAAATTGTGCTAGACTCCTGTGCCAGCTCCTTGCAGGACATCAAACGCTTTAGTATTTGCTACTTCCTACTAGGAGTCCTACTACTTCTTTCTTCTCCACCTTCCATATTTTCCCAGATTTCCAGTTTTTGTTTCCAGGTCTTGTTCTTATTTCCTCCCTTTGCCAATCCAACTCTCATTTCTCATGCTTTCAGATTCCAGCTGGAGTGATCATTAAGACCTCCAACAGAAAAAAAAAAAAAAGCTTTCACTGTTCAGATCTGTCTTCATGCCTGCAAGGTAACAATAAATGCTGCACAATGCTGTTCTGGTTGCTGTGATCAAAGTAGTTGGACTGACAGAATACTATGTTCCTATTAAACATGCATGAAGAGCAACAGTGTAGTCTGGCCTAATAAGAGTTTGGAGAAGCTGCTGGTAGGAAATGACACCAAGTATTTTCAGCATGGACAGCTGAAAGCTCCCACTGTGCTTTGAGAACTTAGTCCAAAATACAATGGTGTGAGTAGTTTTCACTTGCTGGTTTTTCAAGCCTTTGAAAGCTAATGATGTGTTATTAAGAGGGTGAATCAGTGCATATTTTGCCTTATTCTTGGAAAAAGTGTGGTATCTACTTTTATTTCCCAGTAAAATTTAGCGAGGAAACCAGATAATATTCCTGCAGGGTAAACATAACAAGCTAAAGGCAAGCTGCAGCACTTTGCAGTACCCCAGGAATACCAGAGCCTAATACCACACACCTATCCCTCAGAATATGGGAGGAATTTGGGAGGGTGATGGGAAAAATGAAAGCTTTATTTCACAGAGCAACCATCTCTCAAACTACGCCTGCATCACAAAGCCTAGGCATTGACTTTTTACACACCCTAATAGTGATGGGACAAAGGAGAACGGCTTTAAATTTTAAAAAGGAAGATGTAGGTTAGATGCAAGGAAGAAATTCTTCATTCAGGGTGGTGAGGCCCTGCAACAGCTACCCAGAGAAGCTGTGGAGCCCTATCCCTAAAGGTACTCCAGGCCAGGTTGGATGGGGCCCTGGGCAGCCTGAGCTGGTGGACAGATGGACGGGACAGCCCTGCCATGGCTGGGGATTGGGCTGGTGGGCTATAAGGTCCTTTCCAACCCAGACCATTCTGTAATTCTATGCCATTCACATACACAAATTCAAATTCTACCAGACATTCATGGAAGGATAGTATCCATTGCTGCTACTGTAACAGTCTAAAATGAATATTCAGAAACCACAGTTCACAAAGTAGACTATTTTAATAACCTATATTATCAGTACGGTACATGTACAGCACAGACATGCAGAGGACATAAAGAAAAGACAGAATGACCTTCTGCCACAGAGCTAATGAGAACTAACAGAAAATGTCAAAGCCATCAGACTCATTAGTACATTCTTATCAAAGAGAAAACACCAAGAAAAGCACAACCATGGAAACAGAGGAAATACCATTCTAAACTCCTTGGACTCATCTATTATTAAGCTGGCAAAAGCAGAACAGCTGTTCTGAACAGCAGCAACAAACAGCAAAGTGCAAAGACGAGATGAACTTGATGTAAGCATGAGCAATTTCTTATCTTTTATGAGAAAGGATAAACCAAAGATGAGAGAGAATTTTGGCTGACAACATCTGCAGAACAGAATGTGCTGCATAACATTTAAGAAGGCCTCACTTCTTGTGGATTAAGTGTGGGGTATAAACCAACACCTTTTCTAAAAGAACTGATCTCTTGAGAATATTCTTAGCTTTTGAGGAGCAGATAAAACACATGCATCACTGTTTGGCAGCCTCAGAGGCACACTGATAATATGCTCGTTACGTAGTGTCATTAGTTAATGGGTGTGTGTTTGTCCATAATCCTTCACTACATCTTTGATAGTTTTATTACTGGACAATTTTAATACATCTGTAATATAAAAGTAATATTTTGAATTTTTAAAGGAACAAACAGAAAAAGTGATCGTGTGAATTATACTTCCTTTGTGGTTTACATTTATCTTACATCTATTGTATTCCTTTATATGTCTGTTATGACTCTTTATACACTAAAAGTTCACACTTGACTTTCTACTGATAAAGTTGTCAATCTTACATGAAGTTTTCTCTGAAAACAGCTTTTGCATTTTTGTAAAAACAGATCTTGAGCAGAAGAACAAAGAAAAAGCACTGAAGTCTATGCGCCATTAAAAAGAATAGCCTGTTCCATAAACTGAAAGGTAACCATCAAGGTAGCACAGAAATGACACCAAAACCTTATTTTTTTACCTGTCCTTTAATACCCTTGTCCTTCAAAGCCTTTATGTCATCATGAGTCAGTTTTTGAGACTTTCCATCGTCAACTATGTTACGATTATCTGTACCTGCTTCTTTTGTTTCTAAGAGAAAAGGATATAGATTTGTAAAATCTAGCTCTATGTACTTTTCAGCTGGAGAAACATGATTTAAGTTTCACAGACAGCAGACCTCTCCATGTTAAACCCACATGCTTTGTGCTCTTGCCATGTATCTTGTAAGCAATTAACATGTAAGATACATCTTTCTCAATATATTCACCCAAATTAAGGATCAAATTTTCTCCCATATTAAGAAGCGTATTTGTTACAGGACAACTGGAACAGTAGATCAAGTAAAAAACATGCACTTTTATGACAGAAAGAAGTAACATAATTTAATGAAAAATTAACAGAAAGGTTTTCCATCATTTTTGGTCTTATCAAAGAATAACTTGTTAGTGCTTTTTTCCCCCAAGGATCAATCAATCCTCTGTAATACCTGTGGTAGTCTCTTCCACCTGTCTCTTTGGCTGCAGGTTTCCATCACTTGTTACTTCAAATGTAGTTCCATACACATGTCCAATGGCATTATCCAGATAGAAGCCCTGCTTCTCAAAAATAATTTTTCTGAAATAATAAAAAAGTTAATGACATTTAAGGCATCATTTTAACCACGTCTGAATGGACAGGTGACAGGATTTGAAAACCCCCAACAGCTGGAAGTCAACTTGATGTACACCTGTTTTAGCTATGCCTTTGAAGCAAACCAGGATAACCATAAAGAATGAAATGCTAACTACTATTAACCACAACACCACATTATGCTGAAACTGGTTAGGAAAAGAATGAAAAACTTGAATTCAGTGTACAGCATGAGCAGCATGAGCAACATGAAATGAGAAGTAAAACATAGGGATATAGAACTTACATTGTACAGCACCATTTTTGACACGAGAAACAAAGCATCCAATGCCAGATACTGCCACATGTTCTCAGCCTACCCTTACTCTCATTAGATTAAATAGCAAATTAATACAAGTTATTTCATTCCCTATATTTACTCTTTTACTTTATTCTTTCTTTTATGATGGATGCTTAAACAAAAGTTATACACTGAGATTTGCAGAAAAGGATCTGACAGCGATGTCCTGGCAACGCTCTGCAGGCCAACACAGTAACCACCATCTGAATAGCTACAAGTGTTAATTGAAGAACCCCTCCAGCACCCGATTCTTTTGCTCAGCATAAAGCCTCTCAAAAACCAGCACCCCCAGCTTCGTTTTCTAGGCCTTGCTCACATACAATACCTTTCAGTCTCCACTAAATCAAAAGGCCAGAACACTAACGCTGACTTCTACGCAGTGGTCTACAAACTCATCTGCTGCACTGGGAAGCACACTGGAAGGGCTGTCCCTTGATGACAGTATTTCCTGCTGGGGTACAGGGGCTCCTTGCTATACCAGCAGGCCTAGGAAAGAGAAGCAAACTTTCACAGCAGCACTGTCCCACTGAAGCTGCTCCCTGCCCCGCTACAAAAACAACACCGCCCCTTGCAGAACGCAGCGCGCACAGCAAGGGAAGCACGGCGACGGCATCTCCAACCTGCTGCTCTCTCTCAGCTCTTCAGTTGACATCGCTTTGACAACGACACCTCAGCTATCTTTCAAATTCGTTACAACTCTGTAAAAATACGCAACTAAATCCTCGTTGCTTTCAGCCGCAGCAGGCGGGACAGAACTGACACCTCCCAGGGCTTCAGCGAAGGGTCCCACGGCGAGACGACCGCGGGAGGCTGCAGAAAGACCGCCAAAGAAAATGAAAAAACCGCCCACCGATCCCTCACCTCTTCCGCAGCACGGGCACGGCTTTGAAGACGTCACCCCGCTTCAGCACGGCGCAGTCCCCCTCGCAAATTCGCAGGCTCAACCTCCGCTCAGCCTCCATGACCACCGGCGTGCTCCCGCCGGAAGTGTGTGCTCTCGCCGGAAGTTCCCCCTCGCTGCTTCCTGTGGCAGTGCGCAGGCGCCGCTCAGGAATCGGTTTCCCGCCTACGTCGGGGCGTGAGGGAAGTCCCGCGCTCTACGGGCTTTAGCGGCTCCTTCGGGGCTTCGGCCTCAGCGGTTTCTGTTATCTTTGTTTCGATGCGTTTTGACCTACTCTGATTCGTCAGGCGCCGAGGCTGAGATGAGCAGAGACCTCAGGGGCAGGGGGTGTTCCCGGGGACGGGGCTTCAAGGGCTGGCGAGGAGGCTGGCGAGGAGGCTGGCGGGGAAGGGCGCAAAAGGTGGAGTGTAAGAGACAGCCTGAACCTGGTGAGCCAGCTCCTCCCTGCTGCTTCCTAGCCTGCTTGTCACTGGACAGCGGCAGTTTCTTGTCTTCTGGTGCACTGAGACCGCTGAGATCTGTGAAGCTGTCATATCCACCTTGTTTTAATCTCAATCTCTTTCAGCAAGTTCTCGACTCGTTCAGTCAACTTTGGACCAGTTTATTCCATATAAGGGCTGGAAGCTTTATTTCTCTGAAGGTACTTTTAGGTCAAAGTTAAATCTAGCAGATATCCTGATCGCTTTTCTCTGGGTCTGGTTGCACGTAGAGCGGATAATAGGAATAGAAAGCAACTGAAATTCGTGTTTGTTATGTGAGAAAATAAATGCAGTAAAGATCAGTCTTGTAGCATACTGTAATATCTATAGGTTCTGAACCTTGGAAAGGAATTTTGAATAGTATAAAATATAGTCTATTGATAAACGTGATGGAAACTGTTCGGTTAGCTACATGAAGTGTGCAGTCTGTCATGCTGGCACATGGGCACCTCTGCTGTGCTTTTCTCTTACCTGCTTGACCTGTGTCAGCATAGACACGGTTCTCTTTTGTCAGAGACCTTGTAACAACATTACTGTCGTCCTGTCGAGAGCAGACATCTTTTTCTGTTCTGGAATGCAGAAATAGAATGAAAGAGAAACTGCCTGTTTATGTATTTAGTGAAGTGGAAACAGTTATTTCTGTCAGTTACTAATGCTGTGTGTTTTTGGTTAGCTTATGCTGACAAATCACCTTTTGTCCAGAAAACACAAGCCTTTGAAAAATTTTTTATGCAACGCATTGAACTTTATGATAAGGTAAGTAAATATGTATTTCTTTGTGTATGTGTGTGTCTCTCTAATTATATTGATGCAGTAGCATATATTTTTTAATGTGTTTTTTCTTTCGAAGATGATCTCCATCACAGCTGTGAAATGTTTTATGACATTTTCTTTGTGTGGTGCTTATCATTTTAAGTGTATTGTATGACTTGAAATATTTCACAGGATGAAATAGAAAGAAAGGGAAGCATCCTTGTGGATTATAAGGAACTGATAGAAGATAGAGAATTAACTAAATCAATACCAAATGTATCTACTGAGTTACGGGATATGCCTCAGAAAATACTGCAGTGCATGGGTCTGGCAATTCATCAGGTAAACTTGAAGTTCTGATAGATGTGAACATAACTGTCATGATTAAGTAGTCAATCAAATGTAAAGGCAATTATGTTATTTAAAAAAACAACTTATTTCTGTGCTTTTCTCTATTATGGAAATCTGCTGTTTATTCAAAAACTCAACAACCTCCTTTTCTGTATCCTTTCTGTATGACCCACAAAATCCTGTTCTGAAAATGCTTTGGTTTTGTTGCATTTTGTCTATTTGTCATCAGAACAGGTGATGAAAGCTAAGTGGAATTCTAATAAATACGTAATAGGGATGTCTAATTCCTGTTCTATTAATGTACTGTGGGTTGCCTGGGCAGTTTGTCCCAGCTCCTGAAGTGAAGCCATTCCTGGTGGCTGGCTGGGGGAACAGATGGAGGAATTCCTGGTTCCATTCAATATCTCCTGTAGTATTTCACTAGTTGTTAAAAGGCGAATTTTCAGACATTTTTGTTAAACAACTTTCCACACATTGACCAAGATTAAAGGTTATTATATATATTTTTTTTTAATTGAGAAAACTTTACAAATGTCATAATTTTAAATTCTTTTTAGAATAAAGCTTAGAATTGGGAAGAAACAGGAAAATACTGTATCAGGAGTCACTGAACAGTAGAGAGCTCTCTACTCTTCCCTAATGTGACAGATGGCAGTCAAAGAACAGCCAACTGAATCCATGCTGTATGATATACTACATTCATGTTTGCCCTTCGTTCTGTATAGGTGCTAACCAAGGACCTTGAAAGGCATGCTGCAGAGCTGCAGGTGCAGGAAGGGTTACCACTGGATGGAGAGCCTATAATAAACGTTCCTCTCATTCACGCCAGGTAATGGTGTTGGGTATTTGTTCTGTTTGCAGGAGCATCTCTTAGCCTCTCTTATAAGGATCATCACTGTCCATGCGTGGTGCTGAAGGTGTACTTGTTTTGCTGAGAGACTTTGCTATTTCCAGAACAGTCTGCTTTTGTCTTCACAATGACAAAAGCTAAACTGTCCTTGTGAAGGAAAGGGCAAAAGCAGAAAGACTCTTACAACCCTGCTTATAAAGTGAAGAAACAGCTTATAAATAAATAAAGTGTTATGTAAAACATGTTTATTAAAAAAAAAAAAAAAGAAATATATTTTTATATTTGCTCTTTATCGAAGGAAATAGGAAAATATTCAAAAGGATCTAGGCTTTTGGTAGTAAAAGGCTTGCCTTTATTAGGAAGTATATTATAAACCTGCATCCTTTTAATTAGACAGTGGAAGGTGTTTAGGAAAACCTGTGACCAAAGAAGGTATATACAATACCTCAAGTCCTGTGGGGCAATGATGGACCGTGACTCTGCAGAAGAAGGTATTCATAAGTCAATCAATATATGATACTCTCAAAATATTTCTGCAACACGGGCAGGGTGGAGCAGTGGGTTGGTGGAATTAAGGATCCTGAGAAGGAGCAAGGCAAAGAAAAGCAGGACCTAAACCTGCTTATATGTGAAATATATTCTGTTTATATCAGTCCTAGTCATTTCCAGGAGAGATGTATCACCATACAAGCAAAATGTATAGCTGTTAAGGTATATTCAACTGGAGAATATTAAATGTGCTGCTTTTGAGAACAGGAGTTGGACAATATCAAATCATTCTAGTCATTGCTTGAGATTATGCTGGTAATTAGCATGTATGCCTCTTCTTTTTGCTTGGCTGCGGCTTTTTTGGTTCATCAGTTAAGTGTGGTAAGCTTTCCAATTGCTCTCACTTAATATCTTTTGCAGACTGTACAACTATGAACCGCTAACTCAGCTGAAGAACGTTCGGGCCAACTGTTATGGGAAATACATTGCCTTGCGTGGCACTGTTGTACGTGTCAGTAACATTAAGCCTCTGTGCACTAAGCTAGCCTTTGTATGTGGCACGTGTGGAGATGTTCAGAGTGTTCCTCTGCCTGATGGAAAGTACACTCTTCCCACTAAGGTAAGTTAAAATCATCTAACTTTATGTTTTTCCCTTTTGCATTTTTGTAGGGCTTTGAAAAATAACAACACTGGTAGTATTTAAAGTAGGTGGGTGTGAGGGGGAGTAGTTCAGATGTTTAAAGCTGGATTAAATAATGAACACATAGGAAAAATTAAACTTACCATCCAACTTTGCATTACTACACAACGTTGTTATTTGGAAAAAAATGTATTCTGGTGAGACAAAGCAGTTTGTAGAATCTCCTGCCAAAAAAAGGGCATTGTACCAATTGTGTGTATTTTTTCCAACAGCTGAATCAGAGATCAGCTGGCTGTGCTTGATAGCTCTTTATTATCCATGTATATGTTATGATTTATAACCCTAATTTAGCTTGGATTTTTTTCTCCTGAAATTGCGTTAGTAAATCTCATTGTTTTACTTACTTTCTTTCTGGGAAGAAGAAAAAAAAAAGACATTTAAAAACTATTGTTAAAGAGATTTGAGAATGAATTAGAATTAATACTGTTACAGTGCCTTGTTCCTGAGTGCCGTGGCCGGTCATTCACACCTGACAGGAGCTCTCCTTTAACTACCACAGTGGACTGGCAGTCTGTTAAGTAAGCTTCTTTCCTTCTGAACAAAAATGTTATACAACAGGGCAGTCCAGAAGTGACAGAGAGACTCACTCTGTTTTGTACTGTGTAACTTTAATCTCTCTATGCTCTTTCAGTTTAAAGCCCTTAGTCCTGTCCCTTCACTGTGCTCCCTACTGGAGTCCCTCCCCAACTTTCCTGCAGGCTTCTTCTGGCAGTGGAAGGCTGCGATGAGGTCTCCTGAGAGCTTTCTCTTCTCCAGGCTGAATAAACCCAACTCCTTCAGCCTGTCTCCATAGGAGAGGTACTCCAGCCCTCTGAGCATTTTTGTGGCCCTCCTCTGGACCTGCTTCAACGGTTCCACATCTTTCTTGGTCTGGGGGCTCCACAGCTGGATGCAGTTCTCTAGATGGGGCCTCACGAGAGCAGAGCAGAGGGGAATAACGCCCTCCCTGTCCCTGCTGCCACCCCTCTGTTGCTGCAGCCCAGGATATTGTTGGCCTTGCGGACTGCAAGTGCGTGCTGCTGGCTCACATCCACCTTTTGTCCACAAGAACACCTGAGTCCTTCTTTGCAGGGCTGCTCTCAGTTTCATCTCCAGCCTTGTGCTAGGAGTTGCCCCAGCTCAGGCATGGCATGCTGGCTGGCACTTAGCCTCATTGGACTCTGTGAGGTTCACACAGCCCACGTCTCTGCCTGTCCAGGTCCCTCTGGATGCCATCCCTTCCTTGCAGTTTGTTGACTGTATGACTTAACTTGGTGCCATTTGTGGGCTCACTGGGGTTACTTGTGATCCCACTGTCCATATCTCAGACAAACATGTAAATAGAGCTGATCCCAATACTATTGAGAAATGTTAAGCTTGTGCCCTCTGCAACTTTCTTCGATTGTTGTTAGTTGTATCTATTGTTTAGTAATTCCTTTTAATGATCTGGAGGTCAGTTAGGAAAACCCTGTTAAATTACATCCATCA